GGTTCCCTGTCATCTCTCTGCTCTCAGATTCGTTCTGGCAGCCAGGACCTGACCCCAAGGAGACCAAGAGGGGAAGCCTTGCTTTCATTTCCATGGGCTTTGAATAAAGCCTCAACTGCTTGGAGGCAAGGGAGCTTGGGCAGCCGTGTAGTCATTCCTCCTGTCTCTGAGGATGCAGTTTACCTGCCAGGAAACTGCTGCTCTTCAGTCACACCTGCACTCTGGGTCTCTCAAGAGAAAGGCTCTTTCTGCCTGGAGCATTGGGCTCACTCCACACTCCCCCACTGTGCACTGACCCCCACAGCTGAGTGTTCTCAGCTGCCTTTTCTCCCCAGGAGAAAAGGGATCATCTGTTGGTTCCCATTCCCCTCCTTGAGCTACTTGAAGGCAGTTTGACAAGGGGGTGTTTTGCAATGTTTAGGCTTCCCCACTGCAGCCCTGCAACCCTGTGGAATAACACAACCTCTTCTATCTTCCAGTAGGCAATGGCACTAAGCTGCCTTTTCAGTTCTCCTCGGTGGGACAGAATCCGCCCGGTGACTTCAGCAAACAGTCTGATGGGAGCCTCTTCACTAAGACCGGTACTAGGATCCCCCTTTCCCCTTCCTCCTGTCCCTTTGTAACTGCTAAGACACTTAAATCCTCTTCCAGCTCCCCCAGAGAAGCCCTGGAGCAGTTCTACACCTTGACCTGACTGTCAAGCTCTTAGATATCTCCACAAGTTGACACGACCAACTCACTCTGCTGATCCAGAGCAACAGGAGTGTTAAAACCATTCCAAAGTTCTGTCTAATGAATGGGTTTAAAATTATGTTTGTAAGGGGGAGAGATAAATTAAGATGATTTTACAGGCATAAGGACCAGAAAGATTCCAGGAGATGATGCTTGTGGCTGTTTGCCCCTTTAGCTTCATCAGTGTCATCCTGAAGGAATAAGAGCCACTGAGCACAGCCTTAAAACAATAAATGCAGGAGCTGCCTGACCTGCTTCAGCTCAGCCAGAATCCCCCATTCACCACCTCAGCATCCTCCTCTCACTGCCTGCTAGTTCAAGGGCACCAGAGGTGGAATCCAAGGGCAGCAGCACCTGCCAAGCAGAGCCTGATTCCTTTGCAGATGGAAATGGTGGGGAAAGGCCTGATAGCCTCAACCTGGTGGTGATACAGCAGGGCTGGTGTTATTTTGAGGACAGAACAGAGCTGGTGTGGTAGAAGGGGGTTAGGGCTTCTCACACTGCCAGAGGTGCTGGTGTGAACCTCAGGCCTTGGCTCTTTGCACTAACCAAACAGCCTGTGGTGCTCAGAGTGCTGAGTTTGGGACTTAGCCTATAGGTTTAATTGGTCTGATTGCATTCCACCTCTCTGCATTCCTCAGGGATTATAATTAGACCTTCTTTCCTCCCTTTTCCTAACTGATTGGGTGGTGGAAGAGGCATCTGTCTGATGGCTGCTGTGTCCCACCCCAGCAGTGGCTCCATTTCCATGTTAAGCAATGCAATACTAATGATGTGGCACTTCCAGTCCTGCTACTCATCCTGGCCAGGGGAGATGGGGAGGGTGGCAGGGACTGATATCTAACCCTGTTCTCTGTTGTCACAGCTTATCCTTCAATAGTGAGACATCAATCTGCAAAGGTGACACCACAGACATGGAAATCTCCTAAGCAATCTGTATTGGTAAGGAATACATCCTTGGGGTGGAAATGTGTGCACAGCTGCAGTAAGAGACTTCTAGGGGTACCTGAGGCTCCAGAGACAGGGATGGATCCTTTGGAAATGGGAAATTAAAAGCTTTAAGTCAACAGCTTCTGTTAGGGATGGAGATTGACACACACACACACACAGAGCTCTGGGTTGTAGGAGTAATCAATGCTGCAAAATGACACTATGAAAAGATTTGGGTCTCAAATTTGATCCAGAAGATAAAAGCTATCAAATATTACAGTGCACACGCTGCTATCTGTAGTATTTTTCCTCCCTGCAGGGTTATCATACACTCTTAATAGTCTGTGACATTAGAAAGCTCAGATTGTGTAAATCACCCAGAAGAAAATCATGCAAAAATACCTTACTAAGTCCATCCTACATTGGGCAGGTGCAATATCAAAGGTGAGAGCTCAGACTATGATCAGGAATCACTGCAGCATCTACAAACCACTCACTTGGCACTATTAGCACAAACCAGGTAACAGTGCATTACAAGAAGCAGAAGAGAGTGATATTGGAGGTCTTTTAATCCAAAACACCCAAGGCTAACAAACAGTTAATGCATTTCCACAGCAGCACTAAATCAATCTTTTCCTTAACACCCATTCACACTGTGCTGCACTAAGGTCTTGCATGAGTTGAATGCAGATTGTTAAGCTTTGGCCACCACAGATGAAATCTGGTTTTTATCTGAATTTATGAAAGATTATTTACTGTTCCCTGGAAATCAGACTTGGGAGAGGCAGGAATGGAGAGTATTCCCATGCTGAAGGCAAACAGAGGACAGGCAGAGCAGTCAGTGGCTGCCTGAGCACTGCAGCTGGAGCTGCTCAGTTTTCAAGGCTCCCCAGGAGGTGAATCCCTGGGAAAGGGATGTTCCTTGGCAAACTGTCACTGTGAGAGCATCCAGCCTGGAGTGGCTGAAGGTGCTGCAGGCAAACAGCAAAGCTCTGCAATCCCTTCTGTGTTGTGTCTGACCACTGCCTGACAGATCACCATGGGAGTTGGAGAGGGATTCTTCATTGGGAACTGTTGGACAGGACAAGGGGGAATGGGTTCAAACTGACTGAGAGGTTTAGATTAGGCATTAGGAAGAAATTCTTTGCCCAGAGAAGCTGTGGCTGCTCCACTCCTGGAAGTGTTTCAGGGCAGGCGAGCAATCTGGGCTGGTGGAAGGTGTCCCTGCCCATGGCAAGGAGTGGAACCAGATGATCTTTAAAGCCTTTCCAACCCAAACCAAACCAGTCTTCCATGACCCTGTGATTCTCTCATGTGAGTGCTCAGCTGGGGATTGTCCCCAGTGATTTTAGATGCCAACCTGTCCTCCCTAATGCTGGTGCTACACTGGAGCAATCTGGACAGGAAAGTGAGGTCCCTGTTAGCACTGCTGGACACCAGTGGGGTGATCTTAGCAATGAGCACCCACTGCAGGACAGACAGGATGCTCTGCTCCATGGGCTCTCCTTAATCCCCAGAGTGCTCAGCTGGGGATTGTCCCCAGTGATTTTAGATGCCAACCTGTCCTCCCTAATGCTGGTGCTACACTGGAGCAATCTGGACAGGAAAGTGAGGTCCCTGTTAGCACTGCTGGACACCAGTGGGGTGATCTTAGCAATGAGCACCCACTGCAGGACAGACAGGATGCTCTGCTCCATGGGCTCTCCTTAATCCCCATGGAGAATGCTTCTCCCACCTGAAATCACCAGGTTTTTTTGTCTCTCCTGGTCTCTCATGCATCCCTTTGTAATGCCCCTTTCCCTTTGCTAGCCTGTATTCAGCAGACAGCCCTGAACCTACCAACTGAGCTGACAAATTCAAGCATTTCAAAGCCCTGAAATAGAACTCCATGCTCTGGCCTGCAGTATCTCTGCAGGAGCTTTCACGGTCTATTGGGCCAATAATCTAGCTTTTAAAATAGTCTTAAATATGTATTTAAGTACTACACATTCTAAAAGGTCTGTAAATATGACTTTTCACAAAGGGCTACACTGGTTAAGGAGGAATGACTTTTTAACCCACAGGGAGCTGTTTAAATGAAGCCCCCCCTGTTCCAGAGCTTAATTATATTGGAAATTAAAGCCATAAAATGATGGGATTTCAACAAAAGGGAACATTGAGCTGGAGGTGTTGGGCACTGGGAGGAAGGATGGGTTGGGTTTACTCTGCCAATGCTTTCTGTGGTGCTGAATATTCACCAGTGCTGCACACAAAGGGATCAGCATGGCCCTGGGAGGTCTTTCCCCCTTCCTGCACATGAGATCTGGGCAGTGGGTCAAAACCAAGACAGACTGGACAGTACAGGACCCAGTTGTTGCTGGTTGCCATGGTCTAGGCTCCAGTGGTGTGAGAGTCTTCTCACCCAAGCTGGAGATTCTGCCTTGGACAGTGCAATGATCACACCAAATCAATTGGTTGCTGTGTTTGCAACACTCCCCAGCCAACATGAGGCTGCACAGTACAACTTTGCCATGTGCTGCCTGTTGTGATGGTGCAGATAGGGCTGGAAGTCCAGGGGTAGGTGCTGAGGAGACAAGATACATTCAGGAACTGAACTAAATGGAGCTGGAGATACAAAAAGCAGCAACTCCTATAGGCTCTGCTCCATCTCAGGATCTAAACATCTCTGCTTAGCCCAGGGAGGCTGTGGCTGCCCCAACCCTGGCAGTGTCCACAGCCAGGTTGGCTAAAGCCTTGAGCAACCTGCTCTGGTTTGAGGTGTCCCTGCCCAGGGCAGGGGGTTGGGGCTGGATCATCTCTAAGCTCCATTCCAACCCCTTAACAATCTCTGAATCTCTCCACTTCTGGTTACACAGACATTGCCTACTAGGCCCTGCAACATGTGGAGGCACAACTAAACAATACACCATTGTGGGAGGATTTCCATGCACAGAAGTTTGGGCTTGGCAGCCCCAGAGCACAAAGAAATACCACACAACTTGCATAACTGTGCACAGCCTTAAGTGTGAAAACTGCCCTGAGTTGTCAGGTTAGTGAGCAATTAAAAGACACTGACAGGAGCATAAAAATAAAGGTGACATTCCTCATCTCCCTGTAAACCTCTCATCAAACCATGAGTCATAGTCTGAGATCTTCCATAATGCACAGGCTCATTTGGCTCAGGAATGAGGCTCATGCAAAGCATGTGGAGACATCAAAAGGCAAAGCCATTTGCATTTGATCTCTCCAGCACCTGCAGGAGTGAGTGCAGTGAGGCAGGAGGAGAAGCTGAAGATATTCAGACAGGAGTTTAACACATGTATGGGTGGGTTAACCAGGAGGGTGAGGTAGAGGTGGTCAGAAGGAGGAGGTGGGTCAAACTGACAAGCCCCAAATTCTCCTTTACAGTCACATTATCGCCCCTTTTACGTCAACAAAGGCAATGGAGCCACTTCCAACGAGGCACCTTGATCCCTGAAGATGCAGGGAAGAGCTGGCAGCACTTGGAGTGAAGACTCAGCTGCGGATTTTCATGGATGTACCTGCTACTATATTAACCTTACTGCTCTAATCTCTGCCAGGGAGAGGGAAGGTGCAGAAGGGAATGGCCTTTCCTAGAAGATACAAGGACTTTGTTCTAAATCACCTAACGGCCTTGAAAGCTTCACTGTCACCTCCCTGTTCCCTCTCTGGCAATGCCCTTCCCTTTGCTTGTGCAGAGCCAGCTCTCTGCCTCTCCTGGGAAGCATGCATGCTTGGGTAGCATCCCCTGCCATCCACTGCCCCCTTGTCCTCAGGGTGTTTGTACCATAGCTCTTCAAGCCTGGTGAAGGTCCCAAGCTGGGGTGGCCCAAAGGACTTCCCAGCATAGAGAGGCCCCAGTTAGCCACTGGCTAAAGCTCTTCCCATACCTCTCTACCCTGTCACCCCTGCTGTTGGGGACACCCAGTGCTCACTGGGATCAGGACCAGCACTGCCACCTCCTTGGATCCCTGCAGATTGCCCCCAGCCCATGGTGATGGCAGCAGATCTCCTCAGGGTCCTCCATCAGCTCAGCTCTGCTCCTTGCCTGCCAAAAAGCCACACCAGGATCTATCCAGAGCTGCTGCAGCCCAAGGGCAGCTGCTGGTGGAGGGCAGAGAGGCTTTTCCATCCCATTAAAGTACCCCTGCAGCCACCTTTTCAAATTAAGAACTCAAAAGAAAATCCATCCTTACTAATAGAAGATTGATTAGATGCCATAGGTGTTGGGTGCTTGTCTGGTTTGTGGTGGAGTTTTTTAACTCCCCTAAACCAAAAGTGATTTATATACTGTAGTTCAGGTATGGTTTTCTTTCTGCAGTAGGCAAAGAGAATTAGTACTATAGCTTTTTTTTTCTCAAGATAATGGTTTTTATTTGTCCCCTGGATAGATGAATCATGTCAGCACACAGCCTGCAACCAGCCAGGGCTGGGTAACCACTCCATCATCTCACTGGGATGATTTTCCTCTCTCTGTGGACAAACTGAGGAGTTAGGTCCCTGCCCAGGGCCAGTGAGTGGGAGCAGATGGCCCATGGCAGGATCAGAGCCCTCAAATTGAGAAGCAGCTGCCACAGAACCAAGGCTGAACAGCTACTTTTCATGGTTTGCTCTGTTGAAACAGTTTTTGGAATGGCTTTCCCTCACCTTCCCTGCTCCCAGATGCTTACAGCACCTTCTGAGAGAGGTCCCACCTGTCCCTCCCTGAAGATTCCTTGCTGGCTAACCCCTGTGCAAAGATCCTCACTGCTTTTAAATCCAACCCCTCACACAGAACCTCTGAGGCTCCATGGTGGTTTCTCCAGAGTACTTGAAATGTCACTTTATGTTTGTCCTTACTGACCAGAGGGGGGAAGTGGTTAGTGTGGTAGGGCAGGATGTGAAGAAAGGGAAGCTGGGATGGAGTTGCTAGGAAGAGCACTGAGGGTTTTGAGCACATGTGTGAGGATAAAACAAGCCCCTCCAGGTCTCACTGTTTGTTTTGCCCCTGAGCAGGTGGTCCAGAAATCACTTAGGTTCCTGACAAAGCTTCCACCACCTCCTTTAATGTTCCAAAATGTGGCCATGATCCCTCCTCCTCCTCCTCAACTTGAATGTTAAAATCCTCCCTGCCCAGGAGAAGGTTGTGTGGTGCCAGTTGGGCTCTGCTCACCCTCACCCAGCACACCAGTGACCTGAGGACACCAGTGTCCCTTTCCTCCTGCTGTCCCTGTCCTACCCCACCCCTGCAGCCCCCATGGCCTGTTTGCTGCCCTCCCTCTCCTCACTTCAAGGGCCTCACTCAGACCTTGCACACATGATTTTTCACAGTGAATGGAGCTGCTCCCCATGTGCACCAGCCTGGGAGGATGCCAAGCCTCCTGTTCCAGCCTCACTGGTCTCCTTGCCCCACTGGAGGAGTGTGGGACAGGGACATAGCCCAGCCCTGTGGCCCCTCTCAGTCCTGGGGAGCTCTCAGTGTGGCTTTGAGATGTATTGTGCATGAACTGTTTGGATGATGTTTGTCTGGATCAGCAAAGCAAGAGGAATTCCACCTGCACAGACAGGACACGACTGCATTGATGTACTTAAGGCCCTTCCCATGTGCAGCACCCAGAAATAAAGGAGAAAGCTCCATGTCTGACCAAAACAAATGGGACTCGAGTCTGTCTTTTGTGTCTGTTTTTTCCTAAGACTCTCAGTGAGTTAAAGGAACAGGTTTGGAGAACCCATTTTCCCAGTTCTTAGAGGCTTTCTGTTCACTGCTTTATGGATATATTGAGTCAAGGGCAGAGGAAATTCCCACATCCTTGAAGGTCAAAGCTGATGAATGCACTTGAGAACACCCTGCAGATATACCCAGCTAGGTCAGTTCCCAAGCATTGCTACCATGCAAACCATTCCCTGCAAAGGCATTTCTGGAAACCACTCAGCCTGTGGTGGTTCATTATTTCAGTACCTCTTACCTGCCAGAGTTAAACCTCACCACTTCCCACTGGAGGAAAGCACTTGCTTAGATGTGCACTAGCCAAAATGAGACTGTGAGGGGCTGGGCTGAGCTGGGGCACTGCTTTGCCCCAGTCTGGCCCCAAATTTCCCTGTGAGGTTCATTCTGGGCACCATTGAGACCCTTAACCTACTTAAGCCCTTCTGAGTTCTACACAGCTGAAATTTCTTGCCTATGTCATGACTCCTCCCATCTCTGAGGGAGAGAGTAAATACCCTGAAAGCTGCTAAAGATGCAGATTCAAGGCCAGACACACACAGAGGTAGCCCAGACAATTGTCCACATGAGTCTGTGGGGACAAGAAAAGTCAGGAAGGATCATTCATTTACCCCAGACAGGCTAAGGCAGGAAGATTTCCAGAGGATGCCTGGCATATTTCTTCTCCCAAGTACTAGATACCAGCTATTTCCCCCCAGACATTACCAACACTCATTCCTGAAGAGCAAGGACACTACCAATTCACTTGAGAAGTCAGTAAATCCTTCTTGTTTTCCCCACATGGGAGTTAGCAGAGAAGAGAGCTGACTTTCCCATCAATTCCACTCACTGTCTCCATTACTGTTATTACTGTGATTAAAAAGCAATCAAAGAGAAATCTTCTTCCTGTCCTGAAACTGCTGCAAACATCTCGGTTCCACCATTTAAGCATGAGAAGAAGAGCAAGTTAGGAGCACACTCTGCTCTCCTGGACTCTGTGACACTGGGGAATGGTAACAGAGCTCATTGCCTGAGCAGGCAGAGGCAGAGAGCAGGGCTGGCCGTGCTGGGGATGGGGTAATGAAGCTCAGAGCTGCAGGGCTGTGTCGTGCCTGCTTAGGGAATCCAGGCAGAGCAGCTCCAGACACGCTGTAATGAACTTCACAGCCTGGAAGCTCAATGGGCTGAGCTCAGAGCCACTGCTCACCCAGCTCAGAGGGACAGGACTGCTCATCTCCCTCTGCTCAGGCACAATGTGGGGGTTAGACCTGGAGCAGGCATCAGCTTGTCATCCCAGGAACATCCTGGAGAAAGGGTGGACAAACACAGGTTGCCCAGAGAAGCTGTGGATGCCCTATAGAATCAGACTTTTAGGGGTTGGAATGCAACTTAGAGATCATCTAGTTCCAACATTTCCTGCCATGGAAGAAGCTCCAGGGTTGGTCCTGGGGACAGGAGTTAGGGATGGGGGTAGGAGGAAGGTCCAGGGTTGGTCTTGGGGACAGGAGTTGGGGCTGGGGGCGGGAGGAAGGTCCAGGATTGGTCCTGGGAGCAGGAAGATGCTCCGGGATTGGTCCCAGCTTTGGTCTTAGGGACAAGGAGGAGGTTCAAGGGCCACTCCCGGAGACAGAAACTGGTCTTGGGGCAGGAAAAAGCTGCAGTCCCGATCCTGGTCCTGGTCCCTGGGACAGGAGGCAGCTCCAGGGCCAGTCCCGGGAGCAGAGTCAATGTCGGGGACGGAGGATGCTCTGGTCCAGGATCTGTCCCCGGGACAGGAGGATGCTCCAAGGACAGGAGAAAGCTCTGGTCTGGGGTCTGTTCCCCAAACAGGAGGATGCTCCAGGGACAGG